TCAATTGTAAATCACGCAAAACAAGCAATATATATATCAAAGAAGCACAATTAAACTATTCAACCATTCCAATATATCATCGTGTATTTAAAACTATAAATTCAATAATTAGTTAAATAGAACAAATAAATAACTAACCGGTTTCGGCTCCATTAGTAACCTGTAATTATTTTCAAGTTTTCTAAATTACATAAAATACTATATTATTGATTATTAAACTTCAATTCTATAACAGAGAATAAGGTGAATGATTCTTACCTGAATCGATGTCTGAAATACCGAACTTTCTACTGCACTTACTGGCAGTCCTTGGATTTTTTAAATTTTTATGTGGAGATTAAAACACGCTTCATGTACCATAAAATACCTCAAAAATCTAAAATTGGTATTAAAAATATTTTTTCAGCCAATTTTGGGATTCCGGCACGCAGTACCGCCGCCTGCGATGGTGATTTGCCTCGGCATGGCCATTTTTCGCCAGTTTTGGTCAGTTTCGACCGGTTTTATACCAATCCCTGCGAGAAAACACGTTATGGAGCCTCGATTGGTCCGAAAAAGAATAAAAAAACATAAATCTACTGGTGGTAAAATTTTTCGGCGACTCCGTCGACTCACCTACGCGGTTAAGCATTTTTTTTTCCGATCAACCTATAGAAAATAGAACGATGAACACAACGATAGAAAAATCGCACGAAACGAGAAACAAAAAAGGGGCTCATCGGAGGCAGTTGCGGGTTTTGCCCGCAGCACCGCCACCGGGGTTTGCCCACGATTTTCAGTTCACCCACTGTTCCTTTTGCTTCGATTTGGCCATGGGGGGTGCTCAGAATCAAATTCCAAACGGATAGGAAAAGTTTTACCTTTTTTAGTGGTCGGAGGTGGCTCCGGCGCCACGGTGGGCGGCGGTTGGCTCCTTTCTTCGGCGACTGGTTCTTCTTCTCCGGCGGAAGGCTGGCGGCTAGGGTTTAGATTTTGTGTGATGCAAAATATTTATATCCATCTCGCATTAATCTAGGCTATTCATCACATTTGATCTTGACCGTCCGATCATATTTAAGAGAAAATAAATTTATACCGTTCATTGTAATTTAATCTAAATCGTCCGATCGCATTTAAAGAGGGAACAAATCTGGACCGTTCACTGCATTTAATCGCGATCGTCCGATCGCGCTTGAGGAGAGAATGAATCCGAATCGTCCACGTGCGCGAGAACACTTCCGGGTCGTCCAATCGCGGGGCAGCGGATCGCTAGCGTGGCCTCCAGCGTGGCACCGAGTCAGCATGTCTTGCCACGCGGCGTGCTCCAGTTCATCGAGACTGCTGATTGGGCAGTCCTACATGATAAAATTTTTTTTAATTGCGTTCTGACCCCTAGTTTTCTATTTTTCTTTCAAAAACACCATTTGAACCCAAATTTTTACCCATTTTTTTAAACTTATTTTTAATTTTATCTTCAACCTATTTTTCATAATTATATATTATATTAATTTTTAAGTTTTTATATATTTTTTAATGTTAAAATTAATCCCGGATCAAATTCCGTGCAGGGTATTACAATTATTGTAGTTCGATTATTTTGTGATATCTTAAACCTAATCACTATTAGTTCAACAATTATAGTAATAGCTCAACAAATTTTAGGATCAAAACTTTTTCAAAAGTTTAAACTTAATTTATTGGTAGTACGTGACTTAAATCTTTATGTAAAGCTTAACGATTAAGTTATTGGTACTACGTGAGTTGAACTCTTACATAAATATCAACAATTATATATTTTTTCTAAGTGATTAGAATATTTCAATATCTATCACTCAAATTTTTTATGTTCTCATCAAGACCACACGTCATACAATCATAAATCACAATTCAAATACCCACGAAATCTAAAATCGTGCTAGCGGAAGTCATCAAACTGACATGTGTTTTAATACAATTTGTAACATATAATATTATTTACATGTTTTCAACATATTTTGGTTTTCAATGATGAATACAACCCTACAACTAAATTTAGAGTACACAATAATAATCGCATATTTTAATAAATCTCTCTCCCTTCAAATTCACTCCAAGAAAAAACCAATACTCACCAAACAAACAATCAAAGCAAGAGAATAATGAAGAGAATGACAAAGGTTTCTAAAAATCATTACATGGTATATAAATGCATGCATGAATATATATATATATAGACACACACACACACACATACAAAATACATATAAAGTGAAGTAGATAGCTTCTAGTCCACATCTACAAAAAGTTAGCTTGGAACTAAAGAGATAGAATTGAATTGAAGAACCATTTATATATGGTTTTGTTTGTTTCCTCTTTTAGTTAGCCTTTCATTGTTCTTCTTTTTGAAGTTTCTTATTTTCCTCTCATTCATTTTTTTTTTGTGGGTTTGCTTTTTAAATAAATAGTAGATAAATGTCAATAATTTTTTTTAAATATTGAATTAAATATATTTTTTCGTATTTTTAAAAGAAAATAATATTGTTAAATAAATATTAATTTTCAATTTACGTCCAAAGTTTGATTATTTTAGTTATAGATATTAAATAAGTTTTCAACTCTTAAATAATTTTTTGAATATATTTGAAATTTGATGCTTATTATAATTTAATTTTTAATATATTTTTTTAGTTATAATTTGATGAGTAATATTTTTTATTTGTTTTAACATCCCAATTTCATTTAATTTATTAACGAATAAAATTAAATTGGTTTAAATCATATTTAAGCACTTTAAAAAATAGTTTAAAATATATTATTATTAATTTAATTAATTAGACAAAAATTTCAATTTTTTTTAATTACCTTTTTAAATAATTTAAATATTACCTTATTATTTTAATTAATTATGGTGTTCATTTAATTTTAAACAAAATCACTTCAAAAATTTTTCAAGTTTCATACATGGGACTATGAAAATGTTGAAATTTATAAAACCAATGTTTCTCCATGTGTGTGTACATATATATATATATATATAATTATTGGGAAGTCTCTTCGAATTGTCTTTTGACAAAGTGGATTAGATCAAGAAAAGACAATTAGAAATTAATTAAGGACCATATAATTATAAATTTTGGTATCAAGAGTTATCTAATTATCAACTTTAAGATAAACATGAGCATAATTAACGATAAGAATTATCTAATAATAATTTCACTAAACATGATTTGAAACATATCATGTAATGATCTCATGCTCCACTATAAATTAATTTTGAAAAGTCGACCACCAATTGGATTCATAATCGAATAATTAATAATACATAAATTTATTTAATTAAAAAAATAATTAATAAGACATTTAAAATTGAAAATGGTAATTTCAACTAATTAATTAAATTAATAATATTATTAAATATATTTTTATTAATTATCAATTTAATTAATTATAATAATTATTTTTTTTTTAAATTACTCTTTCACTTTGTCGGGTCAGTACGGACCAACTCTACAACACTCTTGATCAAATGATTCTCTTAATCTAGTCATTTTTTTCAAAAATATTTTTCTATATAATCAATAATAATTAATTATTTCGGTAATATCCAAAATAATTTTTGAATTTTGATCACCCTTTAATTTTTCAATTAAAATTTTAATAAAACTACGTGTATTTAAGGTACGTCTATAAGCCGGAAGCTCTTCGGCACTCTTTCTTATTTGTAAATAGAAATTCTGTATAAGTTCTTATAGTTAAGGAGCTTGGGCTTGGCAACTATGGAAGCTGAAGGTTGAAGATTTAATGGGCGAAGAAGAGTATATCTATATATTTTAGAAAAGCCCATAAAAACCCATAAAAACCCATCACCGGTTTGAACTATATATATATATATGTATATATAATTTAGTTTGATTTTGTTGTATTTTAGCCTTGTAACTTTTCATTTTTTATTTAATGAAAAAAAAATATTATCAAACTTATTATTCTATGTAGGTATTACTATCAGAAAAATTATTATGTTTTATTTTTTATTTAATATAGGGATTTTTTTTTCTATTTTTAATTATGTAAAATATTTTATTTTTTTATTATAATTAATTAATGGGACGTGAAAAATCAGTGATAAAAAAGTAATTTTTTAATAATGTGATGAAATAATAATTAAAATAATAACATAATATATTTAAATGATAATATATTTAATCAAATCTTATAAATATAAGATTTTCTAGGTAAAAAAATGGATGATATTAAATATAAAAAATAATATGGACCGAGTAAAATAAATTAATAAACACATTTACGTTGTTATACCGTACGTTTTTGCAATTATTTATTGCATCGGGTAATTATGAAAATATTTCATAATTATGATGATTTACTTAATTAATTCCCATAATTATATTTTTAAATTTGATTTTAATTAAATTTTTAATTAATTTAATAAGTTAACAATTAAATTGATTTCTCTCAAAATTCGTTAAAAATAAAATAAAATAAAAAGAAAATGTTTTATTTAAAAATGGGAAAAAAATAATTTATGTACTTGAAAATAATTCGGCAATTTATACGAAATTCCAAATAAAATATAACAATATATATCAAATAAAAATTATATTTTTTTGCGTAGAAATTATTTTCTGCCTATATTTCAAAATGGAAAAATCTAGTGGTTCAGATTTAGTTTGGGGGCCTCATGAATTTATCCTGACCGTCGATTCACACCGCGTCTGCTATTCCCACGTGCTGAAAAACAACACGAAGAAAGACAACAATATTCTAGGAAGACAAACACCCAATCATCTCTCCACGTCATCAAAAAAGACAAATCCGTTATTTTAAAGGCGCCAACGCATATTCGTTATTACACGTGGCAAAAATATATTGGCTATTGCTTCCAACCAATCGCCGTCTCTCCAACGTTCGCTAACGTCTAACGAATGGGAAGTCCAATCGAGTGCGGAATGGCTCACCGTAGTCAATCGTACCCCGGAAATTTTAAAAATAATATAAAAAAAAAAGTGAGCGATTGTTGTCGGGGGGCTTTGTAACGGAGTAGGGTTTAATAGCTAGCCTCTGCTTCGCTTCTCCTTCTTTTTGTCGCAGAAAGCCGAAATAGAGCTCTCTGCTTGTGGAGAACAGAACACGGAAGGAGCTCTTTATAGAGACGAAGAGGCAGATTATTGTTAGATAAACACGAAGAGCAACCAGAACAGACGCGATTGTTTTATTTTTAATTTGTTTCGAGAGGAAAGAACAGGTTAATGGATGCAGTTACGAGCAGCAGTACAGAAATCAGGACGCAGATGGATTTGGATCGAGAAAACGGGTCATCTTCTTCTGCTTCTTCCTTATTGCATAGAAAGATCAAGTTTCAGCCGGCTACGAAAACCTTCAATCCGTTGGTTAATGGTTCTGCGGATTTTCGGATTGAGACCCTAAACCCCAGCTCCGATGTTAGGAATCACGTGTCGGGCATAGGACAATCGGCCATGGGAGGGAAGAAACCGGACGTGTCGGATTTGTTCGACAGTGGCTTCGATCCGGAACTTAGTTTCGGGATTACTGTGCGCAAGATAGTGAGTGCCTTTCAATCGGTGTGAATTAATTATATAGTTCAATTGATTATGATTATTCCCTGTCATATTTTATTTTGGCAGTGCAGAGAACCATTATTTTCTTGGTTTAGCTCAAGTTAGTTTGAGTTTTGCGAGAAAATTTTTACTTGTGCGTCTGTTTGTCTGTGCTTATTTTATTTACTTCATACAAGCTTACGGTAACCAAGTTTTTGGGCTACTTTCTTTTATACTGTTTAACTTGATCCATGAGTTAGGTTTGGAATTTTATAAGTGAATTACATGCTGCCAAGATAACTCTTAAATGCTTGAGTTATTTTGGGATAAACTTATTTGACCCTTTATTTTTATTTCTTGTTTCGGTTTTGAGTTAAACAGTTTTTTTCCTCTGCGGCAGTAGAGCTTTTGAATGTAAATTTCCCTCTATTCTGAAGGGTCCTAATTGCTTCCGATTTTACTCTGAAAGTTGATTTTACTACTGCGTAACACAGCATTATTATTTCTTTCTTTTTTCAATCAATATTTGATGTTTTAGTTCAATTTCGCATCTCAAATGCACTTCAAGATTGTATGAAGTTTTTGCCACCATTCTGATAAGTGCAACATTGAGTTGAACAGAAAGTTCAAACTTTGTTAATCCTTTATTTAAAAAGAAATTTAATATGCTTTCTTTTGGTTATTCAATTGTGCCTTCTCTCTCTTTTTGGGTCAACTATAACTTTTTGACACACTTTCTGCATATTTTTGTCTTTTTCCAATGTTTTTTTTTTCAGTCCATGGATCTTCTGTTCCAATTTCCATAGTTAGTGTGCTGTATAGCATGTTGTTGATACTTCATCATCTAGTTCTTTTATTTTATTTTTTTGTTTAATTGTTAATCTCAGTTGCCATTTTTTTTATTTAATTTGCATTGTTAGTGTTCTGAGAGCTCTCCAGTGTTTGCCGTCTTTTATTTAATTTGCATTAAGATGTTCTTTTTGGAAATAATGAACAAGTAAGTTGGATATTTTGGTTTTGAATTATTAAAAAACAGCATGGTCGATTTGGTTGTTTTTAGCACTCTTTAAAAAGGGGGATAGCTTAGCCAGTAACCTAACTAGAAGGATGGCATGAATGATTTACAGGGAGCGAGTCTGGAAAATCTTGGGAACACATGTTTTCTTAATTCAGTGTTGCAGTGTCTAACCTACACTGAGCCATTAGCTGCTTACCTGCAAAGTGGCAAGCATCGAAACTCATGTGAGTGCCACTAGCTTTCTGTCTTCATGAAATCTGCAATAGTTTACATCTCAAGCATAGTATGAAACTTTATACCACCGTTTTGCAGAAATGCAGACATCCTTTTTAATAAAAATTTAGTAGTGTCATTGGTTTGCTCTTCCTGATATATACATATGTCGAGTAGCTTAGGATAGTGATCTCCTGCGGATCAATGGTTCCTATTAAAATATGAAAATATTATTTATTCATACTTTAATAATCATCTAGTTTCTAGTGAGTTATACTTATGGTGTTTCAGTTCTAATTACCTGGTTTAAATGGTGAATGAAGGCCATATTGCTGGATTTTGTGCGTTATGTGCCATCCAGAAACATGTTAGCCGAGCTCTACAAGCAACTGGAAGAATTTTAGCTCCAAAAGATCTGGTCTCCAACTTGCGGTGTATCCTTTTGAAGATCTGTATGGTTTACTTTGATTGCGTGAAGTTTCTCATTTTCATGATGCAATTATAAATTTTACATTTTGGGATTTTACTGGAAGGTGGATTCTGAGGTTCAGTATGTATGAGGGTTAAGATGGTCAATCCCGACACTGTTTGGAACAAACAATCCCCAAAATTGTGAAATTCTTTCCACAATCTGCTTTTTTCTTTGTGTTTAGAATTTTGATAAAAAAATTTATTAGCAAAGGAATTCACCCCTTTTTTTGGTGGAAGTCTGTTGAAAACATAGTCCTAATCTTCTGTGGAAAATGCATTGTCTTTTTATTGAACATATCTTGGAACTCGTGATTCTTAACACAATTAGGCATATCTCGTAATTTCCGAAATGCGAGACAGGAGGATGCCCATGAATACATGGTCAACTTGCTGGAATCAATGCATAAATGCTGCTTACCTTCAGGTGTGCCAAGTGAATCTGCGAGTGCTTATGAGAAGAGCTTGGTACACAAGATTTTTGGTGGTCGTCTCCGTAGTCAGGTAATGTTATTTCCATCTGTTGGTTGAATGAAGTTTCAAATATTTATTATTCTAGATCTTTTAATGTTTTCTCGTATGTTAAATTAATGCATCAAAGAGTTTAAGCTACATTGATGCTAAAAAATGCTCTTCCAATTTGTCAAAGAATGTTGCTTATACATTGTTCATGGTTATTTGTTTTCTTTTTCTTTCAGGTGAAATGTCAGCAATGCAGTCATTGTTCCAACACGTTTGATCCCTTTCTGGATTTAAGTCTTGATATTGTAAAGGCGGACTCCTTATATAAAGCATTTGCAAATTTCACTGCTGCGGAGCTGTTAGATGGTGGTGGTAAGGAATACAAATGTGAAAAGTGCAACCAGAAAGTGAGAGCTCTCAAACAGCTAACTGTTTACAAGGCACCTCATGTGCTTAACATCCATCTTAAGCGATTTCGTGCACATGATCCTGGAAAGATTGACAAGAAAGTTCAGTTTGGTACTACCTTAGACATGAAACCTTTTGTCAGTGGTTCCTATGTGAGTAAATTTCTTACTTTTCTATGCTATACTTGTTATCTTGAGCTTGAGGTGTTTTACTCACAATTTAAAGTTTAACTAGAAGTGAAAAATGTTTTGGCTACTGATTTCTTTTCATGACATCTTTTAGTAAAATCTTCAATTTGTAAAGATCTCAATTTAATTATTCTTTTGATTGAGAGTGAGAATGCAGTTTAGAGTTGCAAGTGAAAAGATGTGTTTGGAAAATGATTTGGACCCTGTAAAAGTTGAATAATCATGAGAAAAATTGCTAAAAGTGAAATAGCTAATTGCTTGAAATATGCTGGGCCTAGCTGGAGGTCAATAGCAATGGAGCAGTGTCAAAGAGAAATGTCTACCTCAAAACACAAAACATAAAGGTTTATGCATGTAATTGCTTTCATAATTGTATCAGTCTGGGGTGAAGGATTATTAGTCCCATGAATCAACTATCACTTTATGCTGCTGAACTTCTCTTACCCCAGTTCATGTCTTTGGATTGTGTGAACTGTTCTAGTTTCTGGCAACATTCATTTTGTGCTTTTTCATTTTTCATGTATATTAACTTCCTTATTATTGGCAGGAAGGAGATTTGAAGTACACCCTTTACGGTGTTCTAGTTCATTATGGTTGGAGCATCCATTCTGGCCATTATTACTGCTTTGTTCGCACATCAAGCGGCATGTGGTACTCCCTAGATGACAATCGGGTACTTGAAATAACTTTTAGCTTTTCTTATTTGGTTATAGTTTTTGTAAATCTTGTTTGGTTCCGTATTTCAGAGAAGGACCTGTATCTGTATCTGTTTCAATGACAAATCAGAAGAAAAAGATTTTTAAGGGAGTTATTACTTTATATTTGAGAGGATTCCTTTTGGAGTCCAAGCAATTGCAGTATTAAAAAGTTGAATAGTAGTATGTAGTCCTTCCTGCCTCCTACTCGTTTTCTTCTTGTCTGAGTTCAGGTTGTTGACCTTGATGGTTCATTTTAACTTTTGCTATTTCCAAGTGTTAGTGAATTTAAATTCCTGGCAACTGTTGATATTCTTAATTAGTTTCTTTCATAGTTTGGTATGTGAAAGTGGGACTTTGTAGGGAGTCTAACCGTAAGTTGACAATCCCTAGCCATATTTGCAAGCTATATGGAATTGGTTGCCCTTGCGGGGTAACCTAAAATATGGAAACTTTTTGAATGAGTATTTGTTTGTTCATGGTTTTATTTTAGACTTCCTGTAATTTAGAGTGTATTTGTTTCATATTTTGCAGCAAGTTGTGGTTGCTGAAACATGAGGCCAAGATTGTTAATCACTCTTCATTTTTTTTAAAGCTGATTTTTTGATTACCTGTTCTGATTTGATTTAACAGGTTGTCCAAGTTAGTGAGAGGACTGTTTTAGAGCAGAAGGCCTATATGTTGTTTTATGTGCGTGACAGGAAAAATGTTGTTCCCAAAAAGCCAATTGATATTCTTCAAAAAGAGGACTTGAAAGCAAAAGTTACAGTGAATAAACCATCTCCCATCCCCCAAAATTCAAAGGGACAGGTGCCCAATGGTTCCGTAGAGAGTAAATTGGGCGGGGCAGAATCTTCTGCTACTGTGGTTATGAAAAATGCCACTAACAGTCAGATGCATGCAAAATTCTCACAGCCAAAAGAGTACCCTGCGGCAGAAACTACTTTAGTTGCACCATTATCCAATGGTCCGTCAGAAGTACCTTCTGTTCTGAAACCCGATCTGGGAATTTTGCAATCATTAGCTCCATGTTTGAACAACAATGCCAATACAATTAATCTTAACACAGCTGCTGGTGCCAAAATGCGCAAATGTAATGAAGATGGTAATTCCAGGAAAAATTTTCAAATCCCAGTCACTGTATCACCAAACTGCAACAGTTCAAACATCTCAGTTACTGCAACAGTTCAAAATGGTACCTCACAGAGGGTAAGTGAATGTTTCTTTTCCAGCATGGGTTACTTTATTGTCGTTTTTCTCATCTTTGTGGTATCTTTCTAACTTTCAACTCTTTTGGCATCTAAAGATTAATCCTGTTTCAAATGTCGGGATTGCAAATGTAACACCTGTTGCTGATAACAAACTGGAAGGGAGCATTCCATCTGCTGGAGGTGGTTTTGGAAAAATCAATCTGCCTTCTCCAAATAAGCCAAGTTATGAAAATAGTCAGGTGATTGTACGCACAACCTTTTTTGACTTGGTTGGCCATGGCTTTTTTGTGATTTAACATGTTTCCATTTAACTCCCAGGTAGGAACTACTTCTGTTCAGGCTGCTGGTAGTTTACTGAGTAATGAGAACCGTGATAATGCTGAAAAAATGGTGCATGAGTTGGTTGCTTTTCCACCCCAAGTGGGCATGATTAATGGAGAAAGAAAATCTTCTGATTGTATTGTCAACAGAAGGTCAAAGAAGCTCCTGAAGTGTCAAGTCAGGAACATGCAAATTGGCTTAAAATTTTTCTTAGCTTCCTTAGGCTTACGGAAGAAGAGGAAACATAAAAGGAGCAAAACACGCACCTTGGACATTAAGAAAGCTGGTGAAGAACTCTTGTTGGAACAAAATAGTTATTCATCAGATCTGGGACCATCTACTGCTGGGACATCTGGGACAGTTTCTGTGGGTTCAACTCGCTCGCGGAGGAAAGTGGATCATGATGGTACTCCAATTGGTGAAAGAAAATCTAATTGTAATTCATTGATGGATGATACAGTTCGAGAATTCAGGGAGAGAATTTGTCACAGTGGTTGTGAACTTATGAATCATCAGCAGTCAGAAAAGAATTTTGGATTAGTTTTTGAAGGCAGCCGGCATGACACAAGCGAACTTGATTTTCAAGCAAGAAAGGC